TTATGTACAACTATTTTAATATCATAAATGTTTGAAATACAACATAATACATTATTTCATAATGTATTTATTTCCTGGAATAAATTCAATAAAACATTTAAGTACACAAAAAACAAATAAGTATAAAAATAACACTATATACATTTAAAATATTAGGTAAGTAATATATTATATATACCTACTAACAAAATTTAAATACAATTATTATCATTAATAATATTTACCAAAACATGAGATTTTGAATCATAATAGTAAAAGCTATATGCATACTGCATAATTATTATAAATATTAATATATTATATTAAATTATAATATATTTTTTGAAATAATTCAAGACATAATTTGTACTATATTTGTATTAGGATGATTTCTTAACAGGTTTTCTGTGTCGTTTCTTTTCTTCTTTTCCTAAAAATATTAAATTTTTGGTTAAATCTAACTATCTTAATGTTTTACTTTAACCATTCAATTATTATTTAAATTTTACAATGATTAAACTTGCTTTTAATCCATCTGAACTAATATAAAATAAAACAAATTTCAAAATGTGTAAATATTTAAAATTTCATGAATAGTCAAGTCGATAAAATCTAAGAGACGATATTATAGAAAGATATTATAATAAAAAACACTCAGACTCAGTTTGAAGCTAAAGAAATATGTGTTATAAGTTTATTTAAACGTTGTTGTACAAAATGCTTAAAGATTAAAATAAATTGTAAACGTCCTGCACTGCTGCAAGTGATGATATTTCTGATACATTTCAAGTTCTCACTAGAGTACATACATGGGGGGAGTTTTCAGTGTTCTTGGGTTTTTTTTTTTTTGTTATATACAAATAAAAACGAATTCAATTTTAAAAATATTTTAATATAAATAGGTATAAATTAGATTTAATTTTTAATCTATAACTTCTTCCATTACAAATGTCTGTGTGTGCCACTGAAAGCTCTTATATTATATTGCACAAGGCACAAGTATAATTCAGAATAATTTTGAGTTTAAAAAAGTTTAAATTCGTCCAAAATAATATGTAATAAGCCCTGGTGCATCGTATAGATATTCATTCCAAAACCGAAAAGTAAAAACTATGGTTATTCTTATTACATACAAAATAATGTATTCATAGTTATTGCAAAATTCAAACAAATATTAATTAATTAAATATCATACACATTACATATTATATTATTCGATATCATTTAAAATATTTATAATGTAATTCAAATTTTTGATAAGATTAATTTTTAATCATGAATTTGTATGTTACCTTATATAGGTATAAACTACTATTGCTATCATGCAAAATACTTCACATCATTATAATTATTGATTATTTCAAGAAATATCTTATAAAGGAATAGTCAGTACAAAATATTTATGCTCAGCGTATATAAATACATAATAATTAATAATTATAATATATAATCTAATTGTATCAATTATCGAACAACCTGCAGTAGGTATCAGAAATAATTACATCATATTATTAATATAACATACGAAACAGTATAATAATAATTATAATATATTTGTAAATACGTTATATTATATTATTCTTTATTATATTTTATTTTAACTATACAGGGCCAATTTTTTCGGTTTTTGTACAAAACATCTTATCACTCGTTCAAGCCCAACCACCAGTTTTAGAATCCTATTTTTCATAACCGGTAGACCACCCATGATAAACTTACATATATATATATATATATATACATATTATACAGAAAAAAAACTCTAATTGGAATTTATTTCCGTAATAAATAAAATATTATTATTATATACATTAGGTTCAATCTTCGATATGTTAAAAGTTTACATTTTGGATTTGTACTTACCCCAGTACATGTTTTGGATGAATATACCGACAAATAAAAACGACAGTAGTTTGAAAAGTAAAATAACCATGATACCCAATGAAGTCGGTAAGCTAAACAGGTCGAATAAAGGATACACCCAACGTCCTTTTTCCACGTATGTTTCCAAAAAACTAAAAATCAAATTAAATGTATGAATCAATATTTAATTATATTTTTTAAACTCTTCCACGGTAATAACTATATACTTACACAAGTCCGTAGCTAATTACGAATGCCAAAAATATTGTCAGTGAAGCTGTGGCCGAAGGGAACTTATGTCTGGTAGTAAATAATTCAGCCAGTATAAGTGGTAAAATAATCGTGTGCATTCCGTGATTTTGCCAAGACGGTATGTAACTATCAACTACTTTCGGGTAGACAACTTCACGATCGTAAGCATACATTAACCAAAATGTGACACACACAAACTAAAACATATAAATATTTATTATAATAATAATACTTATACTGAATTGATATATACTTAAAAGTTATCAAATAATTGTATTTAATATTTCTCATTGTATTGAAAATAAAAGTACGTCTGCAAACACCCTCTTTCATTTATTCATAATTACTATTATTATATAACACTGGACATATTATATTTTATTGATCAAACATTTACACATTTATAGTATCATAGAGTATTATTATATAGTTTGCACTAAATAATGAATAGTGATTACAATATATAAAAAAATTAATGTGACTGATAAAATATAATAATCATAATTAAACATGGTTTATCAAAAAAATATGCTCAATGCGATTATAAATATTGTTATAACAAATCCGTGTAGAAATTATTCAACTTATCAA